CAAAAACAAAACCAAAGTATTGCATTCTATATGGAAGGCGACTCGAGAAATTCCTAATGGATCACTGAAAGTTGGATGAAACAACAAACAGCACACCCATAGCCCACATACAATTCGAGAGAGAACAAACAGAAAAATATTTAAATCGTTTTTTTATATTAAAAACAAAAAAACAAATTTAAATGGAAAAATAACAACAACACTGGTGGATATTCTCGGAGAAAATTTTTAAATTTTTAATATAAACATTCAGACACACAAACACACACAGCGAAATAAATGTGTGGACTGCTATTTTTTTGTATCTATTTCTGATTGAAGGCTATTTTTAGCCACTGTGCCCAGATACATAAGCGATAAAGTTTGTTGTATGTACGATAGGAAGAAGAAGAAAAAAGAGAAGAAGAAGCAGAAAAAGATTAACACACACGGAAAATATACACACGGAATGAAGCAATAGAATGATCAGAATATAATGCAAAATAGAGTGAAGAAAATTTTTAAAAGAAATCTATAAAGAGAATTGAGAGAAATTCGTTAAAATCCTATTGTAGAAGGCACAGTGGGTCTTAGAGGCCGTAAAATGTCTGCAAACATCAATGGGTGATCGCATGCGCTTTGATGATGGCAGAGAGAAAAGCCAAAGGTAATGATCGAAGAGCTGCAGAGAAAGAGAGAAAATATCCTACCATGCAGCGGCAGCATCGCCAGTAATGACTTTCGTCATTGCCTCTGCCCATGGGGAAAAATGATCTGCTAACATCCATAGACCAAAATATAGTCTGCCGTTAGTCGTCGGACCGTTCAGTCTTTTTCGTTCGAACAGTGCTTAACGAGTAGTGTGTTAGACCGCACACCTTTTTTTAAATTCCTTTAAGGTGAGTGCTGATGCTGCTGGTTGTGGTGCCAAAGACTTCATGATATTTTTTTCATCTGACAAAATGGAAATATGAAAAAATATATTTAAAATAAAAGTGCAAAATTATTGAAATCTTAAGAGAAAAAAATAAAAATTAAAAAAAAAAAACAAAAAAGAACTTAAAAAAATAATAACTGCTGCAAATATAAAATAATGTATAAAAAAATATTCAAATGGAGTTAACAAAATATAATATTTTTTTATAAAAGTGTTTGAATTTAAAAAAAATAAGAAACTCTTAACTATGTTTATTAATAAACTGTTGGAAAAAATATTTTTATTTGAAAAAATATATATAGTGCTTAAAAATTATGTAACTCATGGTGTTATATTCGCATCGGAATTGAAAAATTTTCAAATGCTGTTATACATACACACTTGACGATGAAGCGAAAAAATAGAAGAATTTTTATAGATGTATATCATCTAGCTACGATTTTACAATATTGCCAGCTGCCAGAAAATCTAATAAGAATTAATCAAAACAATATTTTCCATATGGAAAAAAAATTATTTATAATTCATATTTAATTGAAAAAAATTGGAAATTTTTTTTGAAATTACATTTAAATTTTTAATAATTATTTTTTTTTTCAATTACAAAAAATTTCTACAAATTTTTTGAAAGTCTAACTAGCCAACATATTTAAATCAAATTTATTTCTTTAAATAAAATAGATTTTATCCCTTTACAAAATTCTATTAACTTAACCTGTGTGTATGTATTTGAAATCAAATTTCAAATACTATTTTTAGACCAAAAATTCTACGAGAAAGTATCTTATAACCAATGAACAACATCATCATACAAGTGAGAGATGTATGAATATATACATGTGTACAATTTTTTTTTTTTCAAAATACATATACAGGTATGCGTGGGGTAATCATTTTTTGTGTGGTTGTGTTTGTTTTGACCTACATTGAAGATCCACAAACAGAACACACACTACACCTTCTTATACTCAACAGAATTGTTATATCTTCTCATAGAACACCTACACATCTCTAACATTCTCAGAGTTCCTCAAAATTGCTTAAATATCAACAGGATTTCTCTCATACAAAACACCTACATAATATCTATGTTTTGATATCTCCCCCACTACATTGCAAAAGAGACCCCCACGCACATACATATACACATTGCCCACGCATAGCTTTTCCACTTTTTATATCACATACTCATTTGTATATGTATTTGATGTACAGAGAGAGAGTGAAATGGAAAACTCATGAGATCTAATTGTGTTTTTGAGAGAAAACATTTTCAATATCACAGCCTCAATTTGTTACATTGGACCTGCGCAATTAACACCTTATACTCTTCCATATACGGCTGTCAGAGTTCACGAAAAATATAAAAAAATGATTTGTGAAAAAGAGATGGCTATATAGTCAAGGAGATCAACCACAACAACAACAAATTATGATTTTGGAAAATTTGTATATATATATATATATATATGTCGTAGTGTTGATTTCCAAAATAAGATATTTTGTTACTTAGCCACATTTATTTATATACTATTTATATATATATATATATACATACATATGTATTAGTATATATATATATCATGGAAAATATGTTGTTTACATTGAAATTAAATTTATTTTGAAACATCTGTTCTGTGTATGGATTTTTTATAGACATTTTATAATAATTATAAAAAATTACGAAGTAATCGAACACAGTGGGGGTTATCCAAAAATAAATGGATTTTTTAGAACAATAAAATCTCTTGACCTCACATTAATTTGTTATCAATAAAGATAATTTATTGGAATTAATTTAATTTAATAAGTGAACCTTAAACCACAGTTGCACCGAATGGGTTTTGATAAACATTAATTTAATCGTCATATCCGTCATTGCCTTCGTGCTTAGTCAAATAAATAATTTGGTTTCCGTAAACAGGTTGTGTACCCTTAATTCAATATTTTAAACACTTCATAAATAAAGCCCGCTTAAATAATTAATTTATTTCAATTACTATTTAAGCGGGATATACTTTTTACCTGCTTAACCCACTATATGAAGATTTATTTGACATACATGCAACGGAATTGACAATTTAAACCCACTGGGTTAACTAAATCCAGTACAATGTAAACGTACTATTACTCCAAAATAATACTTTATATTAAAACTTTACTTGTATACAAAGTAGACTTAGACGGCATATACATTAGAACTTTTTAACGGGTTAACTTACTTTATGAGGGTTTATTTTACATATATGTAATGGAATTGACAATTGAAACATACTGGTTTTAATATTGCACATGGTTGGCAACATTGCACATCGAATTCAAGTATAAATTACCCACTTTAACAGTTAATCGAGACATCAGCTACGCTATATTATTTATTGTGCCATGGTTTATTTTAAATCATAATCAAAATCACGATACTAATAAAATGCAGCACTCGTTGTGAACGAAAAAATACTTCTTATTGGAAAAGATACCAAAAGTTACAACCGTGGAGTTTAGTGGAGTCAGGAACAATTGGAAGAAGAAAATCTAACATTATACCTTAGTACAAAATCGGAAGCAACAATGTAATCAGGCTTTTATGGTTGATCCATTTTTAAATTAATTTTGTGTACGTGCCAACAATCATCAGCTGATTGGTATTTATGGCATCTAATCGGATAGAGTTTATTTCGGGATTTCGTCAATCGACTGTATTTAAAAAAAAAACGAGTAATCGTATTGCATTCAGCAAATGCGATCCGGCTTTATGAAATGACAATTTTAATTATCTTTCAGAACCTGAAATGTCAAATATCAGATGTCCGCTTTAGGTTGGCAACTTTTCGATACAAGACATACAAAATTTAGTTTTAATACTATGAGTTCAATTCGCGATAATGCTTTATTGACACCAAACCGAAGTTACGGCTGACTTTACTGGTTGACAATATTATAAGACAATATCCATCTATTGATAATGCCGTAGGACATTATTCTTTTATCGTAAAGGCAAGGACATTTTTTCTTTTTAAATATAGTTTTGGATTTATTGCCAGAGTTTTTTTAATATTGCCCGAATAATTGCAGAGCGCAATTGCCGCCACAATTTTTTGTACACCGAAACGTACCAATGCTCTAAAAATAAAACGTGCGCCATAACGCCGGAAGTTAATTTTCATTGTGCGTTGTTGAGTACAGCCAAAGGGAGTTTCACATTGTTTAACTTTTGAAGCGTTGACGCATGACATAAAGCAACGCTCAACGGAAGCATTTTAATTTTTTTTTTAAATTTTCGAGCGAATGAAGCTTGGAGTTACAGACACATTTTCTTATCAGAATTTAATCGTCTCATAGTCTTTGTCTAGCTACAAATCAGCAGATCCATATAATTTACAATAAATTTGTGAAATCACTAACAAGAAATTGTTGTATGCAGTTGATATATCAAGAAGGTGTTTAAAATAAATATATAATAAATAGAAAAATATATTGGTTAATAAAACCACCAAAAATGTGCACTCTTCATTCATAAAAAAATGTATTTGACAGCTCTATGTCTATACAGCTGATGTAACTAATTTGACATATTTCTCACAACATATGACAAACAAGTGATTAACGTTAGTGTGATTTATACGTAAGGATTTATCTTTAAATCGTAATATTAAGACACGGCTAGAATAATGTCATCTAAATCTACTCGATTTATAAATCTATACTGTTTAGACTAGTATCAGGATAATAATATGTCAGTCATCTTATATTTGTTTATATTTCATTGGCAACGTAGCTTGGCAATATTATCAAAATTATAAAAAAATGAATTGCTCATCATCAGGTGTAATATAGTAAACAAATTTAAATTTAAGTTAAACACGTTTTAATGCATCGTTTACATCAGACGCGATTTGTGATAAATCTGCATTTAAATTGTCATTACTTTTGTGTGTACAATATATGACGTGTTCCAGAAATTGCGATCAGTGTTAATGAAGTATAATTTGAATTGAGGATATTTCTGGATTACTTTTTTATTATTAAATTATTATTATAATTCAAAGAATTAAAAAAAAAACATATAAATTAATCAAAAATCTTTGTATCTTTCCCCATTACAGACACTTCACCTAAATCACAAAATCAAACATGGCTGATGAGGAGGTGAGGTAAGTATCCATAGCCCTCAGAAAAGGGTATCTCATGAAAAAAGCAATGAATATAAAAATTAATTAATAATTTCTTTCCTTCTTTTTTAGTAATTAAAAATACAACAACAAAAATGCAACTGATGCAGTATCTAAGCGGGAAACATTGTGAAGGTGAATATCCAAAAGAGTTTTTAGTTCAAAATGCCTTTTTTCTACCAATGCTTAAAACCAAATAACTAAAGCTTTTTATGATTTTTTTTTAATTTCTTATCTTCTTGGCAAATAAGAAGAAATTCAGCAGAAACCAAGGTTTACCAACTTCACGCTCTAACATGTAACGCTTATAACTGAAATCAGCAAATTTTGTTAAAAATAAAATATTTATACTTTTTATGCTTTCTATCCTGCTGCTTAATATAATATTATTTATGAGAATTTTTATTAATAATCTTCTTTTTATTTTGTGTTTGCAGAAAAAAGCAGCGGCACCGGCACCAGCTCCAGCAGCAGCACCAGCGGCAGCTCCCGCCGCTGCTCCTGCGGCGGCACCAGCTGCAGCAGCACCCGCGGCCGGTGCAGCAGCACCTGCAGCCGGGGCCAAACCAGCAGCTGCACCCGCTGCTGGGGCAGCTCCTGCAGCAGGAGCGGCACCCGCTGCCGGAGCAGCACCTGCCGCTGGCGCTGCACCAGCTAAAAATGGCAAAGTCGATGAGGTATCCAGCCCTGAATGTTGTGTGTTCTAATGTTTACGGCGAAGATCTTTGTCTCTGTGTAGCTCCATTGTGTGTTTGTGTGTGTTGGTCCGAACGTTTTCATCACAGTGTTCCCCGTTTCAAATTCTGTATACCAATTGGGCTTGGGCAATAATTTTGAATTCTTCCCTCCCCCCATCGTCGTTTTTTTTTAGGCAAAGAAGGCTAAACAAGCCGAAATCGAACGCAAGCGTGCTGAAGTACGCAAGCGTATGGAAGAAGCTTCCAAGGCTAAGAAGGCCAAGAAGGGTTTCATGACCCCCGAAAGAAAGAAGAAACTCAGGGTAAGTTTTTTTGGAGTTGTTGTTCGTTAATGGAGTTGTTTATCTAATTTTGTGTGATCTTTTACAGTTGTTGCTCCGCAAGAAAGCCGCTGAAGAATTGAAGAAAGAACAAGAACGCAAAGCCGCCGAACGCAGACGTATCATTGAAGAACGTTGTGGCAGCCCCAGAAACCTTAGTGATGCCAGCGAAGGTATGTTAAATCAGATCCATTTTCACAACTCTTTCTCTCTCGATCTCTATCTCTCTCGACTCGATTTGGATTTCGATTAAAAACGAAACAATTTGTTCCACCAAAAACAACAACAAACAATTTTATCTCACATAAACCCAAATTGTTTTCACACTTCACACAAATTAGTTTTCTTATTTTTTGGAGTTTAAAAAAAATCACAAAAAAGTATTAGTTTTTTAGATTTTGGATCTGGCTTTTAGTTGAAAAAAAAATCTCTTCTACAACAAAAAGAAAAACAACTATTTTTTATAACTATTTCTAATTTTCTCTTATTTTTATTATATAACAACCCTACCTACCTACAAAAAAACAACAACTACTTTCCCCGCCCCTCGTTACCTTGTTGTCCACCCATCGTATTATTATTCTTGTTGTTATTATTTTTGTTGTCTACACAGAGCAACTTAAGCAAATCTGCAAACAATACCACGACAGAATTTGCAGTTTGGAGAACTCCAAGTACGACCTTGAATACGTTGTCAAGCGCAAGGATGTTGAGGTACACACACTACTATATATACATAAACAAACAAATACCACTTGCCAAATTACAACAAACAAAAAATAATGAAGAAAATTCTAAATTTTCTTACGCCACTGCCATTAAATTTAAAAAAAAAATTACGCCACTGCCACCGCGCGCCATTTTCTACCACAATTACTATTTTTTTTTACTACAATTCAAAATAATTTTCAATATTTTTTTTCTATTCTTCAAATAATGCCAAGCACTTTATTCTTATTTTTTCTAATTTTTTTATTCTCTATATCTAATTTTTTATATAATTTTCTTTAAAAAAAAAAACTAAACTTGAGTTCAATATTTTTTTTTTCGAAATGAAAAAATAATTATAAACAGAATTTATGCAGCAGCCAGACACTGTGCAGAGTATAGAAATTGGGGTATTGATAATGTGGGGAAATGAAAAGAGTAATTTTTAGATTTCAGATTTTTTAATATTAAAAAAAAAATATTCAATTGGGATTTTATTAATTTAATATTTTTAATTATTATTAATTTTTTTTTTTGTTTTTGTAAGGGAAGTAAGCGTGGTTCATATTGATCAGTTTTTCTAAGGAGATTTACATTCCAATAATCAGATTTATTTTTTTCTTTTAAATTGTCATATTTTTTTTTATTTAAAAAAATTTATAATATTTTTTTTTTTAAATTTTATAAAATCATTTTTTTCACACATTTTTTGGCTACATTGTCTGGCTGTTTGTTAAAATTATCCAATAAAATGTAACTCCTTTCTCTTTGGCTTTTAAGGCACAACTATTTGCAATTTTCTAATTCAACTTCTTCTCTTCTCTAAAATCACATATATTTCATATTAAAAACCAATATTAAGCAAAACTCAAACTCAAGTTTCAAGCACTGATTTTGTACAGAGAAAATTAAAAAAAAGTTTAAAAAATCTACAGCACCGTAGCCCTACAAACACTACACAACTGGTGGAAATAAATCATATTAAGGTCCTAATTTCTATGGGGAAGTTCTATAAAAAAATTATAAAAAAAAATATTATAAAACAAAACACATTACATACACACACCACAACTACACACACACTCTCACCACCTTTCCCAAAAAAATATATATATCCCCAAATAACCTCGTGGATTCTCCAAATAAGTTTTTTTAGGTTTCTAAATAATTATTTTTTCTCTAAGAATTTTATATATTTTTATTAAGAATTTTTAATTGTAAGAATTTTTTCGATTTTATCTCTTTTTGTGTGCCTTTAAGGTATTTTATATATGTTTTCCCACCTCCAACAAATTATAATTTTTTGTTTTTGGTATTGATTTTATTTCTTTGTGGAATACACGTTTCATTGTTTAGCAACCCTGATTCAAATATGTAAAGACTATCACAATAAGATTATCAAATTGGAAGATCAAAAAATTGATCTTGAATATGAAGTTGGCCGTAAGGATTATGAGGCAAGATTTGTTTTCATTTGCTCATTTTCATTTTATTTTTCTTTTTGTCTTTTCGAATACCAACCAAGTTTTAATAACAAAATTTTTTTCTACTACTTTTTTTTTGAGGCCAAAAAATAATGTAGATCTAATCATAATAATGTTTCTTCAAGCCGATTTTATTAAAAAAATATTCATAAATATGTGTGTAGTATAATTGTTGGTGTTCACATAAATGTAGTTAGTCAATAACCCCCCAATCCCAGGAAAAAAGCAAAATATTTTCCCCTTGATTTAAACCAGTTAAAAAACCTTTGCTGGGCTTTTTTTCTACAATTAAAAAAACAGATTTTTTCATTTTATTCTCTGTCCATTTTTTGTAAAAAAAGATATTTCCCCTTTTTTTGATGGTTTTTCTTTTCCCAAAAAGAAGAAGAAAAACCCTAGGTCTTAATTTGTTAATTTCCCACCAAGCTGTATATTAACTTCAAGTTCCATTTAATTGTTTATCATTCACCTTTTTAATTTAAGTGATTTTTGCTTCAAAAAAAGCAGCAGCTAACCCCACGTTTTTTGCTTTTTGTTACGTTTTCTTTTTTTAAATGTAGAAGCTTTAACTGAATTTTTGAAAAAGCTTTTACTAAAAAAATTTTACTCAAAAAAAGTATTTTTTTGATTTTTTTGGGAGCCACAATAAAAATTTTTCTTGAATTTTTGTAACAAGAAAAATTAAAGATTTTTTCCCCATAAGATTTTTTGAGATTTTTTTTAATAAATTTCATTAAATTTTTTTTCATCATAAAAACATTCATATATATTTTAGGGAAATATTTTTTGTTTTCTTCGAAATATTCTGCACACAGAACTATGAATATGAATAGGTTTTTGTTTTTCCTAAAATCCATGAAATCATTTCATAAACAACATCCCCGCAGTGGTATTCTAAATTCTTTAACTAACAACAAGAAATTTGGCAACTTCAAAATTCATCCAGAGATAATTTTTTATCTAATTCATCTTTTTTATTAACAAGAACCCCCGCCATCCCTAAGTCAAGTTACAAATCATTAGCAATAATCAAATATGGTGCCTACTTTAAGGCGCCTTCATATCATCATCACAATTAAATACAGTGAAGAACAATAGCAAAAAAATATCCCAAAAGGTTATTGACTTATCCATTCACAATAGTGTTTTAAATTAATAAAAAAATACATCTTTGCATACTTTCAGGCGTCAAGGAATTAGTTAAGCTACATGGCCACATATTAAATTTTGTGTAGTAAATTTGTAAGGGTGTTAGGTCGCAAATTAAATTAGGTCGTATTGGTGGGATTAAGATCGGTATCAAAACCGAAGAAATGAAAGACAAGATTCACAGGACTGTCATAAATTATTAGATTTATGAATTTCAAAACTTTATTTAAAAAATAGATTATTCTCAATTTTTTCAGTCGAAAATCTTTATTCGAGGGATCTTAAGGACCATACTTCTCGCTTCCCACTTCTAATAAGCCCCTAATACATTTTATATCGAATATATTGGATATTTTCAAATAAACCTTTATAATCCTCTTTGAAGGATCGATAATCACACAAATTTTCTTAAAAATATTTCAGGATAGGTCAAAAAGTTATTTTATTGTTAAGAGATTGTTTATTATTTGTTCCAGAAAATATTTTTGCCTATATTTATTTTTTACAATTGGGTATTCGTAAGAAGCCTGGATTTTGTTCCAATGACCTTTTGAAAACATTTATACTTCTTCTTAAAAGACTTATTTAGGCTAGTATATTTGATTTATTTATTATAAATATCGCTTATTTGCTGCAAGACAGACATAAATCGTAGTTTTGGAGTTTTTGTGTAAAAAAATCAGATGAATATCTCTTACACACTTTAATTGAGAAGCTGTAGAAGTTCCTCTGTCACATATAAAGTGTGAGTAAATTGAAGACTTAAAACACATTTTCTGTAAAATCGTTTTTTAGTTATGCCTGTCTTGCTGCAAATTAGCGATATGTATCGAATTTAAATAATGTCTTGAAGATTTTTAAACCTTGGCTCAATCAGCATCCAAGTTCGGAAAATTATATAGTATTTTTACCTAAAACTACAATGAAGCCAGCTTCAATTCCTCTGATATATTTTTAGGCAGCATTGCCTACTGTTTGGTAGTGGATTAATTTAGAAACAATAAAATTGAAATATGTGTTGTCTTCTTTAGCCATTTTTTATAGGAAATAAATTCCAACTTTTTTAAATAAATTCCAACTATTGATTTAAAATGTTTTATAATTTTAAATGCAAACAAGAATTTATATATTTGTATTGTACTTTCCTCAGATTTCCTAGTAATATTCTTGTTGAGAGATTTATTTCCCCCATCTTCTTTAGAACTGAAAACCAACCTCTACAAATAGAGAAAAATTTTCCTCTAAAGATTCGAGACCTTTCTATATTTTTGTTGTTTTCTATTTTTATATATATATTTAAATTATTTATGAGCAAATAAAAAATTTCAATTAATCCTCTATATATATGTATGCCTCCTCCCCCTCATTGAAACCAAAAAAAATCTCTGGGTACAAAAAAAAACAGCCGAACTACAAACTGTATGCAAAGAATATTGGCAACGCCTTTACAAATTGGAGGGTGATAAATTTGATTTAGAGCATATTCAGAAAATCAAGGCACAAGAGGTAATTAAGCCAAAATTTGATATTAAAAAAAGAAATTTTGGTATTGTTTTTTTTCTACATATATATATTTTTTTTCTTATAAATAATCTTAATAATAATATTGTAATAATTTTAAAACCAAACTTTTTTTATAAAACCCCAAATATTTAAACAAAATATATATATTAAAACCCAAAATGAATTTACAAAATAATGAAAGGACATTTGTAAAGGAATTGCAATTATTATTTATGTGTGGTTGACATTTTATATAAATATTTTCTTTTTTTAAGTTTTAAAAACCAATTAATGTATGGCTACAACAACAATTACTGATTGTCAGTGTGTGTGCCTGTGTTATTTTGCAGCTGCTGCCCAAATTCCCCAATTACAATACAAAAAAAGAAAAATGTCAATACCATTCAAGACACCACACTCCAATTTTATTTTATTTTTTCTTGTGTAATTGTTTTTATCTTCCAAATTCTCTTACACTCTAGAACACATAACATGCCTTCTATGTTTTATTTATTTACTCGATATGTAAAACAATTTATCAAACCAACAATATAAATATGAATTTCAGGTGAATTAGTTGAAATCTGTGAAGAATACCATGAACGTATTTATTATACTGAAAGTTCGAAATTCGATTTGGAATATGAAGTCAGAAAAAAAGATTGGGAGGTACTGCCACAAACAACAACAAGAAATTAGATTCTTCTAATTTATTTGTCATATGAAATAAGCCTTTGTTTCTTTTTCTCTCTCTGTCTGTGTTACGTGTGAAGTAAAATGTTAGATATGTGTTGCAAGAAGAATTTGTCTAGGTTGTTAGTGGTGAAATTTTACAAAAATCAAAACTCCATGTGCAACATACAACATTATGTTTTCAAACACCATTATATATTATTATGTTTTTTTTTCTCTCATTACTTATTCGTAAAATTTGTCTTAACTCAATGAACATTTCCCCTTTATTTTTGTAAACCACCTCCAAAAAAAATTCAATATATACGTACGCATCATGTGTGTGTGTGTTATCCACAGCCCAATTACAAAAGATTTGTCAAGAATATTACGATCGTATGTATACTTGCGAAGGCCAGAAATGGGATCTGGAATACGAAGTCAGGAAAAAAGACTGGGAGGTACAGCTATCTATTATATTATTTATTCAGCAACACTATTTAGCTATTAAATACATATATTTTTGTTAACGTTTCCTTTTTATTAAAAATCTATATATAAAAACATGCTAAAGTTATTAGTTTTCATATATATAAATATTGTATTGATGAAACAAAACTCAATATTCCAACAATATAGAAATATTAATTAGCTTTTTTCAAAAACAAAGATACACATATTTCACCTTTGATTTTTGGTGAAAACCCCAATCCACACACACACTTTTCACACACAAGCTGTTCCCACATGCACAAAAACCAAATTTATACACAAAAAATATCCCACACCTTCAGCACACTTTCCACATTTAGCAAACACACGTTCCATGCTGCAAATACCAAACAGTCACCAAGATACACAAAATATCCCACACTTTCAGCTAACTATCCACTTTAGCGCTGAAAAAAAAACAGCCAACCAGTCATCAATACACTTCCCATAAATCCAAGACACACTATCTAATTTAGCCTTGCAAATACCAGCCAGTCACCAACACACTTCCCATAAATCCAAAGTCCACTCTTAGCTAGCCGTAAAAGTTATCCACTTCATTTTTTTTCTGACAGACCCACAAAACTGTTCCAAATCCTTCACTCCATCTCAGTAAAGCCTGGATCACATAGAGTCGATTTTTAGGCCATAACTGAGATCTACGCATCAGTCACAATCATTTGATAAAACAATAATTTCTGTTTAATTTTATTAGAGGAAAATAGTTTAATTAAATATGCAAATATTTTCAGATTCTGAATTACTCTTTTCTATAAAAAATTCATACCTCAGTGTTGTGAGATTTTCTACAGAGGAAAATATTTTTTATTTTATACGAAATCATTTTATTTTGAATCGACACAAATTTCCCAGCTCTTAATTGTCTGCACAATATTTCTCTTAAATTGTTTTCCACCTTTTCCAAGGTATTTTTTAGAATCGCAATTGAAAACACAAATGTGCCAGGACGATAAAATATTACAGAAAATTCACAAATATACTTACGACCAAACTCCTTGGTTTTGAAAAATATGTCATTTATTTTTGTTTTGAATCAGAAAAACTTTATAAACATAAATAAAGGTTTGGTCGTAAGTCACTCGAATTCGTTCGTTTGGAATTTTACAAAAACAGGCTGTTAGTATTTTATAATCTACTGTAGTCAATTCATATGAACCTCAAATAGTTTTTTCAAGGCTATTTGTTCATATAACTTAATTTGAATTCACACTAATTTAATTATTGGAAAATTCAAGAAGTTGATAAAGAAACTTAACAAAATTCCATTTTCAAATTCCAATGGTTAGATTTTTAATTTTTTTGTAATAAAAAATTGCATTAATTTCAAAAAATTAAGTCAATCATTCCCATCTCTGCATTGAAATCATAATTGTGAATTATTTACTATGTGAATTATTTATTCACTATTGTGAATTATTTACTAATTATCTCTACATATTATCTTGTTGATGATCAATATGTGTTGCCTATTTTTAGGCTCATTATATCAATAGAGACGATAGTTTAGATTAAAGCTTTGGATAAACAATTCATCTAGGATTATCTTTAGACAGTTACAAATCATATAAACTTATCTATACGAAGCATACTTTTAGGGATAACAATTATATTAATTGATAACAATTATAGAAAATTATTGTTAGAAGTTTTTATGAAAGAAAAATAATTAAAAAATAATAAAAACAGAATCATTTAATTAAAAATACAAAAAATATATATTTTATAAATATATTAATTATTTTTAAATATTAAAATAATAAAAAAAAAAATTGATTTATTTAAATACAAAGTAATATATTATTCCATCTTCCATAATTTCAACACCCTATCATCAATGCATCATCATTTCACAACAATGTACACCAATACATTTTCAGAAACCCACCCACACAACACAATTATTAAATTTAAATTCAAAATTAAATTTCAATATATATATTTTTTTAAATTACGTCCAATCCACAATTCCTCTTCCATAAACACACACATGCACACCACCCGCCAAAACACAAACAATTCGATTGCAAAATTCTTTTAATTGATTTCGAAACAAAAAAAAAAATTGTTGGATAATGACGTTTGTTTTTTCTATTCCTATATATTTTCATAGATGATATTAATGCAATGTGACATTTTATTTATTTTTTTTTCATATTTATATATAAATATCTCAATAATGTTTTGTGTTTTTATTTGTTTATCAAGAATTTCGTTTTCTCTAATTAAAACCAACAATAAAAAAAACTACTTTGTAAATCATGCTATTCATGAAATCAGAAAAACCGAATGATAAATGAAACACAGTAACACCAAGCACACTTGGCTTTTTGTTTTATTTTAATTAGTAATTTTTTTAGATAAAATCTATTTTAACAAAATCTCAAAATGAAAAAAATCTCTTACGCCACCACCCACCGCCATTAAGATCCATTGTTGTTCTTTTACTTATTATTTTTTTTTTTTGCACAAACAGAAATCTGTGACAAAAGATTTTTGGTTTTTTTCTTTCATTTAGAACATGCATACATAGTACAAAGCAAAGAAGAAAAAAATTATAAAAAAATACTTAGCACTAAAACGAGACATTCATTTATTTATAAATAAAAAAAAGAAATGCAACAGTATGGCGCGCATAGCACAATAATTAAAAAAATTATATTTAAAAAATATGTGGAATATTTGTGTTTTATTAAAATAAAAAAATCTATGTGTGGTTTTTTGTTTGTGCCTTTAAGCCCTTCTTTTGGTTAACAACAACAAAAACAAAAATCCAAAAAATAAATCAAACCAATCCATTTTGTATACAATTGGCAACTAGCAACACTTTATTTAACTACAACAACAGCAGGAAAAATAAATTTGAGAAACTATCCCCTACAAAAAAGCAACCTCTACTCCCCCTATTCCTATGAAAAACTGTGTTGCAATTGGCGAGTTAGAGATGCACTTTAATAATTGATATTATTTTTTTCATATTTTTTGATGGAAACACACAAACAAATAAAAACACAAATCATTAAAATTTCCGACATAGCAAATTCTTCTACTGGGATTTTTTTTCAAAGGGACAACACCAACCAACCATATCAACAAATATTCTTGTTTTTTTCTACTTCAGCGTAATTTTTTTGTGTGCCATACTGTGTGCAGTACCTCGTTTTTTTAATATAATTTAGAAAAAAATTCAACTTCACCAAATATTCACCAATTTGTCACGTACTTTTTTGTTTAACGTTCACTCACTTCACTTCACTGTAGCAAAAAAATTTTGTTTAATTCTCTACTCTTTTGTTTTTCGTAAACCAACACTTTAATGTTTAGTTATATTTTAGTGTTCGGTACACATTTTGTTTCCATGTAGTATCAGTATTTTGAAATTACAAAAAATGTTATGCTGTTCTAAGTAAAAAAAGAAAAAAATAATTAGATTAAAAAAATCAATCCTTAGATCTCCCTTTAACAATAACTTTACATTTGAGTAAAAACTGAATTCTATTGTAAATATGTATGTCAATTACTAATCCACTTAGCTTAGTTAAAATAAAATATATTATATATCTCTCTTTTATCTGTAACTAAGCTTTTGGCATGCTGTAGCTTTTGTTTTGTCCTAACAGAAAAAAATAGAAAAGAAAAATAATGCATGCTTTTGTCTAATCACAATGGCTTATTTTTTGTAAAAAAATCAATTGTCTTGTATACAATTATTCCAAGATATTAATCAATTTTATTTTTTTGTTTCCTTTTAAACAAAAATTATTCCTTAAATTTAGATCAACGATCTCAATGCCCAAGTTAACGATCTTCGTGGCAAGTTGTAAGTATTTTTAATAAGTTTACCAACATATCTGTCAAATACTAATTCAATTGTATTTTTCTTGTAGCGTCAAGCCTGCTTTGAAGAAGGTTTCCAAGTACGAAAACAAATTCGCCAAGCTCCAAAAGAAGGCTGCCGAATTCAACTTCCGTAACCAATTGAAGGTTGTCAAGAAGAAGGAATTCACATTGGAAGAAGAAGAAAAGGAGGTAAGTTCATTGATGTCAATTAAATTTATATAAAACACACATATTTATATAAAACAACAACAACAACACACGTTTATATAAATAAAATAAACAATGTAGTTTAGTAAATTCCCAGTAAATATTTATTTATACACAAAATACACAAACAACACAGATAAACAATATTTTTATACTCTTCTCTAACTAATTCAAAAGCATATGAATGATATTCACATCCCACAAATACATTATTTTCACAAAAACACGTAAAGAGAGTAAAACCATGAGTGATTTCAATAAAAGACTTAAGATACAAACTTGGTTATTAGAGTTATGAACAGTAAACAACAAAGGTAGAGACAAAAATAATCATGTTAAGCTGTGAGAGTAGATAAAGAACATAGGGAGAGAATGAGACAACATAAGCCGTAGTGTGTTTTTACAATTAAAAGCTTGCCATGTGAAACTCCATCAACGGGATTTAACATTTCCTCTCTCTTTCTACGTCTCTCTCATATGCAAGCATTTAATCATGCATAAAGAATTATTAAATGATACGAAAGACTTAAGACACAAACTTCATCACATAAAATGAAAGCCATATAAAACTGCTCTCTTCTCTCCCAAATGATTGAGAGAACTCCCTAGATCGTGCCTGTCTAATACAAATGACCTAAGACACAAACATTTTTTTTAAAACCGTGATTGCTTTTCCGCAACTAAAGACTTAAGACACGAACTCACGTCTTATTTGGATTAAACAGTTCTCTCTCACACAGAAGGAGAGAGGGAATAAATTAAAAAAATAATTTATGAAAACAAAATCAAATTAGGAAAAAATATTAAAATTAATTCACTTACTCGAAATTAGATAAACAAATAAATATTGTAATATAAATATTATTTAATTTAAATAAGAAGTAATGACAAATAAAATAATTAGATAAAATATTAAAAATTGGCTATAAAATTAAAATAAAAATTTTAAAAATTAACTATTAAAATTCAAACCATTCTCAGGCTTCATACACCAAGACAGAACATACATTACAAAACACACAAAATTTATATCTAAAAACTGTAGTTAATTCCAAACCCATTTAAAATATTAAATCCAGTATTTAGAAACATTTCACTTTTCTATAAATACACATTTTTCTCCTTTCCAAACCCATTTAAAATATTAAATCCAGTATTTAGAAACATTTCACTTTTCTATAAATACACATTTTTCTCCTTTCCCCAACTATTTTTTCTACACCTCAACACAGTAAAGTAAACTCTGTTTTTTATGCCACAACATACTAATGCTAATTTTTTATTATTATTATCATTATTATCTATAGAAAAAGATTAAAGATAGTGTATTAACTAAAGCCAAAAAGTGTAAGATATAAAAAACTAAGTGTATTGAATGTGAATTCAATATGTGTGTGTGTCTGTTCGTGTGTCAAAAACCAACATTTCACCAAATATTGATTTATATAGAACTTGAGAATGATTTGTGTAGTTTTGTCACCTTAGTCAAAAGCAATGCACAGGATTTTTTTTATGTTTTGAAACACTTTCCAGCACCCAACAAAAGAAATGTCCTTTATACTTATTTAATTTAATAGGTCTCTTAGGTTTCAATACCTTGTGTTGTTTGTTAAATAGTGTAGTTATTTTTACTGTCACTTGTTTATTGTTTTTTTAATTATTTTTGTATATTTTATTAATGTGTTTTTTTTTGTTTTCCTTCCATTTTCCCTCCACCCCCTTTGCAGAAGAAACCCGACTGGTCCAAGGGCAAACCCGCTGATGCCAAGGTAAAGGAGGAAGCTGAAGTTGAAGCTTAAGTGTTCCCGATTTATACTATTTTGACCGTATCCCGCCCTAATTTTTAAATAAATCATTTATAATTTTTTTCAACAAATATGTACATCTAAATTTATGAAAAAAGAAAAAAAAAACGTCACAAAAAAAAATTCACAACATTTTTATTTTCTAAATACAAACATACAATTATTTAAAAAACCAAGAACAACAACAAAAAGAAATCATATTTACATATATAGCCTTTCCAATGAACTCAAGAAATTATATAAATATATATACATATTTATTTCCATTCTGCCCCCGCCACCATATATACCCACACACAAAAAAACTTTATTTAGCATGCACATGAATGATAATGAAAAAGGAATGCAACCTGGCACAATTTCTGCGGAAAATTTCCACCCAAGTGCACCGTGGTCCTTGTAAATATCTTTCGTTAAGCTTGTGGCTTCTCCCTTGAATTTTTTAGATGATTTGTAAATAATAGATATTTACACTTTTCTTTTTTCCACCAACAACAAAAAACAACAACATTTTTGTTTATAGGAACATGCTCCAGAAACACCGGCTCCAGCTTAAATTGTCTTCAATAGGAATTGCAAATAGAAAAAAAATATTTTCATTATTTTTGTTTTGCTGTATTCAGTGCAAATTATTTGATATTTTTAAACCACACACACAAGAATATTTATTTAAAAAAATTTAAAAATAAAATTATATTTAACAAAAAAGCCAGAATGATATGTGGTTTTATTTCATAATACGGAATCTGAGATGGGAGATATATATGTGGCGCCTATGACGAAATATTTACAATTTTCTGTCACACCACAAATTGTCTAACCAGATTATTTATAAAAAAATTTAAAAAAAAACTTTAAATGGGCCGTTACCTGAAATTTTTAATAATTCCCACAATTTTTTCTCAGAAAAATTATACATATGTCCGAAGAGCTTATCAACCTACACACCAATAACGACCGATATCGATATCCTAAAGTATGTATATCCAAAACTACTTCCATATCTCAAGACTACACACCAATTCTAAACGCAACAATACTACATTTGGTATCATCTATTACCTTTTGTACTCTAGTTGTATTTATTTCCAAAAATCTTTACCTAAAACCAAAGCTTTCCAAATGTGGTATCCATTAATAAAATAGAAATCTTATTTCCCAATTTCAAGATTCCAACCCTAATGGTTTCCAAATTGTACCAAATTTAGTGCACATTAATAAAAATTTCTATTTATACCTTCTTCAACAATCCAATAGAAATCATATTTCCAAATTTTAAGATTCTAGATTCACATAGGTACGAATTTCAACAGTGGTCCTAACTCCAAATTTCAGTATTCTAGCACCATCGATGTACCCAAAAGTCAAATTGTACCAAATTTAGTGCACATAAGTACTATAAGTGGGTCGATTATACAGCCATAACATTGAAGAAACGGGCTGCAAACCATTATAACAGAGCACGCATTTTTATAAAAAAAAATCAATGATTTGAAAGGGTTGATTGTTTGTCTGACTATTCATCGTTAAATTATAGCCCGAACTGAAGAAGTTAGGCAGTGAAACAATACACAAAATATATGTAAACTATTAAAAATAGTGTTTCCAAAAAGATAATAGCTAAAAGATCACCCTTTATAATTGTAAATATATGGAATGGCAGTGTGTAATAAAACTTCAGAATTTCCTCTAACCATATCTGGCAACTTTATAAAAATCGGTTTAGTTGTTGCCGAGATATTTGTATTTCAATTCAACGATGGTCCGAAATACACCTCCTGCTTGATTCTTGTCGCCTAATACCTGAAAATGAAAAACCACACAAAAATCGATCTTTTAAAGAAGGCAAAAATTGTTTTCATAATGTCTGCTGCTGTTGTATGAAAATTATAGCATACTTGTAGGGGCAAATGGCAGTTCGAGGTGCATGCAATTTCTTGTTGCTTGATATGTAGGTGTGATTGTATGGGATTTATGCATATATGCCATGTAAAATATATTTACTCACACATACACACACTGTAGCTGTATGAAGAAAAAATTTCCATTTTTGCAAGATCGATATTTGTGGTGTTCTTAATTTTTTGGTAATAGGCGCCCAGCATCGAACAGAAAGTATATTTCGGAGTATGGTAGAATTGAAATTCGAATAACTCCGGAAATAGTTAACAGATTTTTATGAATTTTGCAGCAATGGTTAGAGGGAATTCTGTAGTTTTATTACACAATGACATTATATATATATATTACACCTATAAAGGTGATCTTTTAGCTATTATCTTTTTGGGAACACTGTTTTTAACAGTTTACACACATCTCGTGTTTTGTTTTTCTGTCATACATCTTCAGTTTGGTCCATATTTTAACGATGAATTGACATACAACCGATCAACGATCGCTTTCAAATCATTGAATTTCATCAAAAATGCGTACTTTGTTAAGAAAGTTCATTGCGCGTTCCTTCAATTTTAAGGCTGTATAATCGATCCATTGAAGCGGCTATTTGTTTACTCCATTTCATATAGATATATATATATATATATATATATATATATACCGATTTCAATTTCCTTTAAGACCATACAATTTGGCGAAATTTCATGAATGTAGAATTTAATGTCCTGGTTTTTGTCCCATAACTTTGGAACTACTTGAGGTATTGTAATAAATTCGATGAAAGGTAGGAAGTCTGACTATTTCGTGATCTATTCAAAATATAAAAAAATGTGAAATGTTTTATTTGAAAAATTATGTAGGAGGATAAATTTGTATGTTATTGCCTTACAAAAGTTTTCAAAATACAATTTGCCGATTCTATGTCAAATACCAATATTATTTATCCTTTTATTTGTGTTATGAGAGCTAGTTCAAAGACATAGAAACCGTAAAGACTCGACAAAATGCATTTTGACAAAATAGTTTGTGAAAAAATATCCAGGGGGAATCAGGCATAACAGAGGCATGTTAACAATAAAAACGCAAATACGCGATAATGTGTGTATAAAATATAAATAAAATCAGAGATCTGTACTCAAAAAATCTGTTTTTATTTTGTAAGCTTGCGATATAGCGTTTAAAACGTTTAATATTGTTTGCTCTGTTGTTATGATATCGTAACAACAGAGGAAAAGCCATCTATTGGAAATTGTTTACGTATCGATTGTCCTATCTTTATACTTTTATGTCTTTGGCTAGTTACAGGCTAGGGATAAGTAAATCGTCTTTCGGCTAATCGACTTTCTGTACTGAAAAGTCTAAAAGTCGACTTTTGATCTATAAAAAAATCGTAAAGTCGAGTTTTCAAGATCGACTTTCGATTCATAAATACTTGGTTTTTTATAACAAAGCTCAAATTGCCCAAAAAATCACTTTCCGGAACTTTACTTTTTCTATTCAAAATAAAAAAAATCAATTTTTAGTCGATTTTGCAGAAGTCAGTAAAAGTCGAAAATCGAAAAGTAGACTTTTTAGTCAAAGGCTAAAATCAAAAAGTCTAAAAATCGACTTTTTGGTCAGAGGCAAAAATCGAAAATTCGATTTTTGCACTCGACTACGTATCCCTATTACAGGCCATGGCAAAGACATAAAAGTATAAAGATAGGACAATTGATACGTAAACAATTTTCAACAGATGGCTTTTCCTCTGTTGTTACGATATCATAACAACAGAGCAAACAATATTAAACGTTTTAAACGCTATATTGCAAGCTTATAAAATAAAAACATATTTTTTGAGTACAGAACTTTAATTTTATTTACATTTTATACACACATTATCGCGTATTTGCGTTTTTATTGTTAACATGCCTCTGTTATGCCTGACTCCCCCTGGATATTTTTTCATAAACTATTTTGTCAAAATGCATTTTGTCGAGTCTTTACGGTTTCTATGTCTTTGGCCATGGAAGACATTTCTGAAGCAAAATATTTTGCTGTTACCAATCATTCCTTTCAATAGATGACGTTCATGTAGGGTCTTGTATGGTCATGTCGTCAATAGATTTGAGGAATTACTCCTCCGTGCGATCAAAGAAAGCTATTAATTTGTCAATCCTCAACACTGTTTCCATAAACATGATAGTGCGCCATAACGTCGGGCTCCATATCCACACAAATAATTAGATGGCTAAACCAGAAACTGCAGTGCAAAATATTGGTGTTGGTAGAGCAAGTTACCAGAAGGAGTGGGCCGATGGGTCCCATCTTCGAAGTTGATTTAAGTTTGAAAGAAATACTACGATGTGCGTATTTTGTGTCAAATAGGGCATTCCGTACGATTGATATTGGATAACCAACTTTTCAAAATGTTGACGATTTTGTGGGGGTACTAAAAGAAAGCCACCGATGAGATCCAGCTTCCCACAACATGCAGGTTTGGTAAAAAGATTATTTGGTGCAAAGTTAGATTCAAATCGGATAGTCCTTTCACACAGAATTACAAATGTAATTTTCAACAAAATTTTGAGCATTTCGTTTGGAAAGTACCAGGAAGAGTGGACCAATATTCCCCATATCCGAACTTGATTTAAGTTTGGTTTCTCCCATCGAGAGTTATTGTGCGCACCAGTCAGTAGCACAGGCTCAATATGGTTTCCATAAGCAGGGTAGTAACACAACAACGTTGGGCGCCATCTCCATACAAATAATTAGATTACTAAACCAGAACAGGCGTGGTGTTGGTGGTGTTTTACCTTTTAAAATAATTTGATTGATCCGCACTCATATGCACCCGGTCATTTCTTATAATACTACCGCAAATGATTTTCGGCGATTAAAAAATCATAATAATTGTCAATTTCTTGATCAATAATCGATTCAATTTTATTGTTTTAATTTTTTTATAATATTTGGTTTTTTTGTTTGGAATAAAATTTTTGCATTTAAAAGTAGATTCGAATATAAAACAAAACATATTCTTTAAGACATATGTTTGTGTGTATATTTGCAATTGCAATGCTTTCGTAATAATAATATAAATATGTTTATGTGTGTGTTTTAAATATCAATGGATTACAATCAATATTGCATATAGGTGAGTATCATGTGTATATGTATTTTAATAATTTATATAATTGTTATCACTAAATTCTAAAATCATGACTAGTCATAGTCGTCATCATCACTGGCCTCCTCTTCTAGCTGGAGACAATGACGATTATCCAATTCTTCCAATTGCACTTCGATAAACTCCTCATTACCAACAGCAGCATCACCGGCAACAATCATTTCGCCTCCGCCACCTGGCATTTCTGCGCCTTCCAAATTTCCACGCTGATCAATGTGATGCTAAAATGTTTGGGCATTACGGCAGACACCACACCCTAAGGCAAATTCCTCCCCCGTGGGTGGATGTATAACATGCAGTGGGCATTCTTCACCCATCAACTGCTTAGCCTTTGGTCCAGCCGGACATTGGGGTAATTTATTCTTCGGTATATTTGTAAGACGCTGAAAATCGTCGTGGCATGTATCACAGAAATGTGTAGTGCCAAAGCAGAAGAACACCGCCACCGAACAGCAATAACGACATTTGTATTCCAAGAAATCGGTACCATGTTTGGGACACATTTGAGCTCGGGCCACGTCGGAGCAACCACCGCATACCAACTCCTCGGGATTGAATTTCTCGCCAATTTCCACATCACAACGAGCCTCTCCACCATAATAAGCTTTCTGGCATTTGAAACACACATAGTAGGCATAACGTTCCATTGCCAAATTGGTTAAATCGCGATTTTCGGTATCCTTAACAATGCCCTCGTATTTAATGCTGCAAGGAGGAGGAGAATGGAAGTATAATTAGGAAATCGAGTTTGAAATGAGGGTGGAGATGTTGGAAACTTACCGCATTTGGGCTTTGCGTTTAACATCCTGCTTGAGAGCATTGATGGGTTCCAATATTTCTGCCAACATGGGATGTTTAATGTCTGCCTTGCAAATGGGACACAGGGAGAAACCAAATGTGATACGAGGACCACTCCAACGTTTCTCCAAGACGGCTTTACAACAGTGATAATGGAAAACGTGACCGCATTCGAGCTAAAAAACAATAAAGAATTATGACAATTGTAAGAGAAATAGTTAAGTTTTGAATAAATGAAATAAAATAAGGTTTTGGGATATTTTTACTGAAACAAAACTGAAATAAACAGAACTCATGTTTGTTCAACATGTCTATTTCACTCAGCGGTGTATCGTGGCAATATATACCCTATCTCTTTCTCATACTCAGGAAATTTATTAATTTGTAAATTATGGAGATTTCCGTAAGCAGGATTGTACTACAAGAACGTTGGGCGCCATCTCGATCGAAATGACCCAACACTGGCAATTAATTATTCGAAAGAAAAAAATCAGTAAGTATGTTTACGTTTTGACGCTATGGTACTCATTATGTCGTTAGTATGGCCAAAGCCTTGTAAATTGATAGTGTGGACCCACACCAGAATCCAGGAAAGAATGCCAGGCCAAAGGAAAATCGTGCCGACCGTTTTTATTTTTGATACAAGTAGAAAAGACTGTTGAGGACTCTCCATAGGATCAGGGAAAGCTATTAATTTATTAATCTAAAACTTTTTTCTATAAGCAGGATAGTAGCTCCAAAACGTTGGGCGCCATCTCCACACAAATAATAAGATGACTAAACCAGAACTAGAACTAGTAGCTCCATAACGTTGGGCGCCATCTTCACACAAATAATTAGATGACTAAACCAGAATTAGAACTAGTAGCTCCATTAGGTGTTAGTAAAGCTTGACCTATAAAAAGCCTCTGATATCGCCATTTAGATTTGGACAATCACACTCCTAAAGGGGTTCGATCTTATTCAGTTCGCTTCGCAAAATGAACTAGGTTGTTAAGTAAGTTCCATAGTTCCTTTTAATTGGCACACGTCAATTAATTCAGCTAATGAACGCAAAGATCTATGTGAACGTTGGGATCCACAGGAATGAGAGCTAACGGGACTAAATGAACGAATGAACAGGACTAACACCAATCGTTCATTATGAGGAATAGTTCCTTTCAACTAGTTCGTTACGGAACGAAACAATTCCGACTTGATTTTCTTGCGAGACAACAATTTTAAACCCGGTACAATGAAACAGGAAGTTCCTCAGGGTGGGATTATATCTCGAATCCAACAAAAGGTCGATGGAAAAATGGGTTAGAATTGAATTATTCTATGTAAATTTGTTTAGGGTATTGTAAATCGCAAAAGATCTGATGAATGCTACTATTGAATATTGAGGGCTGAAGGATAAACAAAAATCATCTGAGGAAAATTATTCGCATTGACTAGGGACACAATATATATAATAATGAACCAGCAGATTATTTGAACGATGTACGTCCTCCGTGCGATTTTTGTTTTTGTAGCAGCCATATAGTTTCTACACAAATCTGAAGTCCCGATGTTTTTCATTCCTAAAAATCTAACAACAACATGCAAAAATATATGTTTTCTTACCTGTATCGATGGGGCACATGCCAATGCCTCGACAAAACAAATCATGCACATATCATCGGCGTCCTGTGTCAGTTTGGGTTCATTCAAACCATCGGCCATGTTATTTTCCCGAGCATGGCAGACATGCTGCAAGCAGGGTAAGCATTTCTTTTCATTGACTACACCACCACAAACATGTCCGCAGGACTTGGTTTTCATACACGAATTGGCAGCATATTCCTGGCACTGGGCATCTGCACAAACGTTGCCAATTTCCAAGAGTCCTGAATTACCCGTTATGCCACAGAAACGGCAACGACCCACCGAATCTTGGGCACCCGAGATGATGGTATGGCTGCCATCACGGAATTCCACCATTGCTTTGAGAGTCTTTGAATCGGCCAATGCCAGCAGCCAAAATAGTTTGGTACGGCCACAGGACTCATGTAGTTCTACCCGTATAGCCTCCTCTTCTTCCTTGCAAACCTGTAAGAAATTCAAATTATATTATTTTTCATTTCTTTTAGACTATTCCAAATCCTTACCGTTCTTTTGTGAGTCCTTGTTTTGCGATTTAAATGCAAGAAGCGATCACAATCCCCACAAAGGGAACCACAATTTTCGCATTGTATAATAGCGGAGGTTTCACCATCATCATGATTGGTACACATTGGACGAGTATCTGATATGGTCCATTGGCCAGATGATAACTTCTCTACATGATCATTGTCTAGGACACATAAGCTGGCCAAGGCCAACCATAAAGTGGCCGTTTTTACACAATTTTCGGGGCTGCGGAAGATCTCATCCAAGCGTGTCAAGTTTAAGACAGCCTCAGCAATGGCTGCCTTGGTCATCTGAGACCATTTTTCACCCAATTTACCCTGGAAAGAAAGGTTAATTAATTATTTTGTAATTTCCATAAAAAAGTGTCTCACTTACCGTTGCCAAATCCCTTATCAACGAAATAATACTCTCCGCCTGTTTGGTGGGTATGACACCATTCAGGAACCACCTTTGATTTAGATTTTTCGGAGCTTCTCTTTTTATGTCTCGACTACTACCTCTTCCTGCTTTCAGTTCCATTGAACGATCATATTCAAAAGTGTAGTCGGCACGTGAGAAGGTGTCTTCCACCTCCTCATTGATATTTTCCGAACTCATATGCATTTTCACCGGTTTGAGGAGATGTACCGATAAATCCAAGGAATTATAGAGTCTTACAAACGAGGGTGTCTTCTCCATATTGGATTTACCTCCTGCACTTTTAACCTTTACCTGCAATTGCAACGACTTGGCTATGACCGCCAAAAATATATCCAAAAGCCCCAGGCTATCCATATCAAAATCTATAGCAATTTGATGGGCTATATTATAATCCGATGGTGGTAGACGTTGCACACTCAAAATATCGGCAAATGTGGCTGGCGATATTTCCGGTAAGATACGCCTTAACAAAGCTGTCACCTGTCTCTGTACCCTATCACTTCCCGTGTGCAGCAGACTTAGTAGATCTTTGATCAGTCCATGTTGATGCGATAGATATGAACGTCCCACAACACTGCCCGACAATGCCAATACCATACTCAACATTTCAAAGCAATAGGTATCAGCGGTACGTCCACCACGTTCCGAATTGCTGTCACCTTTAGATTCCTGACCATTTGACCCGGTTCCATTAGGATCACGCAGAGAATTTGCCAAATTAACAGCATCCCAATCTTCTCTTGCGCGTCGGGCTTCTTTCTTTATGGCATGCACTATGTGGACAATCACCTGTTTTTGTAGATGCGAGAGTTTACTTCGTGAGAACAATATGCCAACCATATGTTCCCGCAAGTCGAGAGAGTCGGCCAATATTGAATTGGCACTTGAATCCATGCCCAGAGCATTTTGTGAATGACTTTTACCCAAAACGCCACCACTTTCATCGCTTGTCGGCTCGAGGCTTATCAGTTTGCCAAAGACTTGTCCTGCAAAAGAGAAAGGGAAAACAATTAGTTACTATTACGAACAAAAATAATTCATCGGGATTTCTAAGTAACAAATTCTAAATGAGGATTTTTAGGTGGTGTACACAAGATGCCGAACAAGACCACTCGAAGTGAAAAAATATATCCCTGAAAAATAAGTATTAAGTATTTTTAACTCACCTGTTATCAACCGGAACACCCTCAACGTCTCCGCCTCGCAGATTTGCTGTTGTATCCTCACAGCATTTGTTAGCTTCATATTATATTTAAATGCCTGACCTTGAGTGGTGTTGTTCACTGCTAAATCATAAGGATTTGTCAGCTGATCTGCCGAACCACACATTGCAGCGGGTAAACCTAAAATTTTAATTTGCCTCACACGTAGAGTATTCTCCGGGCCGGTAAATTCCAAACGGAAATGAGTGAAATTGTCATCATTAATTTTCGTTGATATCCAGGTGCAAGCTTTAGCATCAACTTCAACGGTTTTAATGAGGCTTGTATCACCCAGTGACTGACCGCCATAGAAGGCAACCGAAGACACTTTATTTTGTATATCACGACTATTGTCGATATGAATGAGTAGCATTTTACAACAATAGGTCAGTTTGTTCATGGATATTTCCACAATTTTACTTTTGTTGCGATCCTCTTCATCACTCTCCCAAAACGTTTCCGTGGAATTGTCAGTCAAGGACTCCGCCATGGCCTGGCGTGAAGAGACCGTAATGTCGAAGTGACCATTTAAATCGCTGTAATAGATTATTTTGCCACCAGCATCAGGTACGGAATAATTATCCTTTCCCAATAACTCCTTGCTTTCTGCATCTTCGGTCATACCAAACACCCCGGGAGATTCATTTTGTTCATCCGATTTTGATAAAATCTTCGAAATGTTACCAAAAACATGGGAGCTGTGCAGAAATTGATGATCCGTTTGACGGAATCGTATACCAAAACATTGTATGGCTATGCGTTGCAGTGGCGATCCGAGGGGTAGATGAAGAGTCAGATCAGCCACTGACTGCAGGAATGTGTGAAGACTCTCGGTAATCATATGCGATAGACGTCCACTTATTTGTGTATAGGAAACTGGATGCTCCAGTGCTGGTTCCAATTCATCAAATTTACCATCCATGGGATCGGAATTAGCCGATCCCGAGATACTTAGCGATGACACAAACCACCACATCAGATCATGCAAACACACACTTTGTGTTACCGAACGCAGTAGCCAATTAAAGGCCTGCAGGGAATAATTACGACAGGTTGCAATTCGCAGACTTCTTTTCATGGCACTCCGCAACTTCTTCAAATCATGTTTTTGTGTCATAAATGCCATCGCCGGCCTCTGCAGCAAGGCATTGACCTGATTTACCGATTCATTATCGGAATTATTCCTTTGATTTTGTTGTTTGCTTATTTCAAAATCAAATTTACACTCCTTGTTCGGATCATTGCCCAATGAATCTCCTCCAGCTTCAGGAAGATTGCTGCATTTTTGTACCACAGATGTTGCTGTTAGTACATGTTCGGGTACCAGACGTCGTAAATTCTCCGAAGGATAACAAATTAGCAAAGATCCATCGGAATCAATGGTTGAGTTACGTTTACGAAACACGACTTTAGGATAATAGGGTTCTTCGCGCACATTACCACCTCCCGATTGTTGTTGAACTGCACCCCATCCCTGGCCCATGGAATAGCTGCGATGAAATTTCGATAGTGTCCCGGTGCTGGAGGTCATACAGCTGGGTGGATTTGGTTGATCGAAGTTGGGTAAGTCCGATTCATATGAGATTTCAGAAAGGGGCTGGAAAGAGAAATATGACAATGAATAACTTCTTTGCTATACTTTGAAAATATTTTTCTAAAAAATATGTCTTTAGGATAAGCCCATAACTATGAAAATATTTTTTGACTGTATCTTGAAAAAATATTTATTTAGGATCCCCTAAGCCTATAATTATGCCCTGAAAACTATATTTTAATAATCCACACCTATTAATATGCTTTGAGTAATATTCGTGAATGACTTACCCTATCAAATCCGCCACCACCTTCACTTGGTCCCATGCCAAATATTTCATAAGGCAGATCATCTTTGTTTGCCGAGCCAAATGTTTCCAAGCAGGCAAAGGTTTCGGGTGCCAACCAAGGATGTTCCGGAGAGCAGGATCCACCCGTGAAGCTCTTACGCAACAATACATTTGCTGAAATACCAAAAACAAAAGTATTTAAAATCTTCAAATTCCCAACCTCAACCCGTCTTACCTCCAAATTTATTATTAATTCTCAGACCCACACGACTATGTCGCTGCTGGGCCGTATCACCCCGACTGGTACTGGGTTTATTCATTTCACTCATACTGAAATGTTGATGTTCCACAACGACGGGCATTTGTTGAGGCGATCTCTTGCCAATACCCAATCCACTCGCCGCATTACTTGGATCCGTTGGTAAGTTTGTGATATTCGAAGATAATTCCAATAGAAATGTGGCATTTTCCCGCATCGTATTGTAAATATCGGAATTTGCTATTAAGGTAGTGGTCTTAATCCCAAAAAGGTTCAGCTCATTACAGGGTCCTCCGGAATTGGTGTTATTCAAGTTATTGGTATTTTTATTGGTGGAAATATATTTGTCCCGACAGGCATCACACATCAGGAACCAACTGGAAGCTCCCTTGCCACCCTCACCACAATTGCCGGCCCAGCCTTCACAGAAAATACCCACGCTGTTATAACCTTTACCCTTGGCGGATTTACCACAGCCAGGATGGACAATACGCATGTGATAGGTAACCGGTATCGGCAGGAATACTTGGCAAATTTCACACCAGGACCCATCATCCTTTTTCTTCTTCGATTTCTTGTTTTCCTTCTCCTTGTTAGTTTGTTTTTCCTTTGACTCTCCACTGCCCTCTCGATTGGAGAATTTCTCTTGGCTCAGAGAATTCGATTGCACGATGTGTACACAATTGGAACAAATGTGTTCCCAAAGATAAACGAGGCTTCTCAAAGCAGGCGGCAGAACTGTTACCACCTCGGGCAAAGAGTGCAGCTTTTGTTTCTCACCCACCTCGCCATCTCCGGCATCATTTGACAAGCCTTTACGATATTTTCGATTATTCACAGAAAAATTACCCGTCTTTGTTAGGGTTTCCAATGTGGAGGGTCGTATATTCAAATAGTTTCCAGCATTTGCCACTTCCACAGAATGCCTTTGCTGGGCTTTCTGCTCCTTCGATAATTGCTGCCTACCCTCGCCATGATCCCGCCGTGTCACAACTGTTGTACCCTCCTTGGGTAAGTTGGGATGGAATTTCAGGAAACTTGCACAAGCCATGGCATCATGGACAATACCCTCATGCCAAAGGAAGGCGGCGAACACCGCCCGTATACTCTCCGCAAATGAAGGTGGCATGGCCCTCTTTATGGGGCCCATGGTTGTTTTCTTTGTCGTCGTCTGTGTTCCATGCGATTTGAAGAAAGCATTTTGTGTTGCATTTCCGGCGGCAGCAGCAGCCGCCTCCGGCCATATAGGTGGACTAGAATTATCCGTACTAGCAGTAGACTGTTGGGCGCTGCGAGAATCTCCAAACACAATTTGATCTTGCAGGACCACGGTACCACCACTGCTTGTGGAGGATGTGGTAATTTGCATTAAACTCATTTCATCCTCCAAGTTGGAAATGTCCGATTCTTTCAAACCTCCTCCTGAATCATTTGCCAGGCTTGAAGCTCCCAACGAAGTAGTAGATTTCCTGGAGCCTCCCACACGTCGTGGTGAGTGTTTTGGGGTACTCAGCAAAGCTGCAGTTTGACTTGGGGTAAAATGAGTCTTACGCATACTGACGACATCAAAATTGCCCACATCCACATTGGAACTATCTTGGACCAAGGAATTATCCACATTTTCCGATAAACGTCCTCCACCCTCTTCTGTGGCATGTTTTATGGGGCTACTTGAACGCTGAGATCCATTACCATTACTGCGGGTGTCTTGGCCACCCATTACTCTCACCAATTCTCTGACCGATACCGAAGCTATTTCTCCCACATCGGAGGGTTTAAAGGAATAATCCCGACCAGAATTGGGTTCATTATCGCCCTTAAACCATTTTTGCAGGGCTTGCAGTTTAATGGCCCCGCCACCAACTACTCCTGCAATGGCTGAACCAATGGGATTACTGGCCCCAGCACTACCCGCAGCAAACGGATCTTCCTTTTCACCATCACTACCACCACCACCGAATGGATGTTGTTGCTGCTGCAGATCATTTACCGAGTTCTTAGATTCAGTATCGGCACAAATAAACGGATTTGTAGAGACATGAGGAAACTCCGCCGGCTTGGGAGGATTTGCAGCAAAATCAAATACCTTCTTCGAATCCGCAGACTTGGCATTGGGTGATGGCGATTCCAAAGTAGCATTTACCGGTTCCAAATTATCCAAAATGTCACGTTGCCTATTCCGACTGACATCCTGCACTGTGGGCAGCGGCGACATAGGTTGGCTCTCCATACTCATATCATTGGTGTTACTCTCTCTGTTCGCGACGGAAGTATTCTCCACGACAGGATGCAGCAACGTTTTACCCAAATGCTGATTATACTGCAAACACCATGCCTCCGTCGGATACCAACCCATGGCACAATGTTGCCTTATCGATTCGGTTGATAGGCGCAACCACACCCCGTCGTCATTTTCGATTTCATCGATAAACGAAATTACGCCATTCAGCTTGATCACACCCACTTGTTCCGATTGCAGGGTAGGATGGGAACGTATACGTAGACCAGCCGTATTTTCGGTATAGAATTTCCTCAACTTATTTGGGGTGTGATGATTTTTCATAACCATTTTATGGGCCGGTGGTGGTACACTACCCTCCTTAACCTCCACACGATAAACCTCTTCCAGGAGGATACCATCAATGTTGACCGTTAGGCAATAACTACCCACAGCATTGGGTGTCCAGTGGACACTAAATGTACCATCTTCCATATCTTGGGCAAAGAGGGTCTCTGTAACTCGGGTCTGTATGGGGCTATTGTAACGTAACTCCTCGAAGGAGTAGTTGTTGTAGGGTTTCATGAAAGTAATGGCCTTGAAACACATTTTCTCTTTAATTGTGGGTTCGTAATTTTGTCGTGGCGGTGGTGCCACACCGCCGAAGTAGTTGTCCGATTGGGAGGCACGACGTAGCTTAACATTACCATTCCCCATGGATCCAGTAGGTATGGCTTTGATTTCGACCTGGAAGGGAAAGGAAAATAATTGATAAGGTAAGCTGAACATGACTTTTAATTTGCTGAATACTCTTTTCAATACGAAATCTTCAATTCAGCCTGGCTGAATAAGAGTTTCTATATGAAATCTTCAATTCAGCCTGGCTGAATAAGAGTTTCTATAGGAAATCTTCAATTCAGCCTGGCTGAATAAGAGTTTCTATAGGAAATCTTCAATTCAGCCTGGCTGAATAAGAGTTTCTATAGGAAATCTTCAATTCAGCCTGGCTGAATAAGAGTTTCTATAGGAAATCTTCAATTCAGCCAGGCTGAATAAGAGTTTCTATAGGAAATCTTCAATTCAGCCAGGCTGAATAAGAGTTTCTATAGGAAATCTTCAATTCGGCCAGGCTGAATACGAGTTTCTATAGGAAATCTTCAATTCAGCCAAGCTGAATAAGAGTTTCTATAGGAAATCTTCAATTCAGCCTGGCTGAATAAGTGTTTCTATAGGAAATCTTCAATTCAGCCTGGCTGAATAAGAGTTTCTATAGGAAATCTTCAATTCAGCCTGGCTGAATAAGAGTTTCTATAGGAAATCTTCAATTCAGCCTCGCTGAATAATAAATTCTATACAAAATCTTTAATTCAGCCTGGTTGGATATGAATTCCAATCTGATATTAAACCAGACTGAATGATTGAAAGATTGGTTTTTTAAATTTTATATTCAGCCTGCCTGAATTATTTTTTTTTCCTGTGGGAATTTTATTATTTCCTTTAGGAATTATATAGGAATTTTATTATATTTTACAGCTAAATATAATTTTAGAATAATTTTTTTCTATTCATTTTGAATGTTTCGTGACAAGTGCAACCATTCAAGAATAGCTTACATCCGGAATCCCCAATAGCACATATGTGTGTTAGTGCGTGTTCAACTTACCTTTAACTCTGGTACCACAATTGCATCCCCATATTGATCCCTTATGGTCACTGTTATCTGTGTGGGCCAACCATAACGCAACGGTTCAGTGATTGTATTTAACTCACATCTATAAATAAAGAGAGAGTGGGGGGAGAGCGGGAGAATAATTATTGCTATTGTTTCCAAATGAATATTTGATAATGTGCCGTTAACACGTGTAACGGATTGAAAAGCAGGGGGTGGGGGGTTACATTGTCAATACACCACAGGTGGTGTATTGAATTTGGTAGCAGTTAGAGACTTACTTGTTGGGATCTAGGCGAGGTTCTGGTTGCAGCCATGCAGCTAAGCGAGCTCCCGATGACCCAGGAGCACCACTAATGAAATCTTTCAAGAATTGACGTTCATTTGATTGAGAACTGTAAAGATAATAGAAAAAACAAAACAAATCAATTTAAAAGTCATTTGGAGAGGCATAACAAAAAAGAGATTAAAAATAAGATCCGATGATGTTTTGAGGAATATTTGGGGAAAATATATAAAACCTAAATTTAGGTAAGAACAGTTAATCATTAGCTGAATTGTAAACAATATTTTTGTTACAGAAAAAAATAACCCATGACAACAACAGCACCGCATAGGTAACAAATATTACCCAAGTTGAGTTACCACAACTGTCACGAGTAATGCTATCAGTTATTGAACCCCTTTCGACTGCAACTCATTTTTGTTTGTTGGCTTCCCTGCGGCCGCTGATGACTGGCATGGTCTGATGTGGTCGATGTGTAAAACATATGGTGGTCGGTCGGGGTGGAATAATAGATAAATGGATTTGTGATTTGTTTTTCCCGAAGCGACTACCTGTTATTTGTTTCTCTCTCTCCCTGGCTCGCTAGATCAACGAGTCATGTAAAGTCATGTTTACTTTGTCAATTTGTTTTCCGTCACAAACGACTGAAAAAGCGTATGAATGAAAAATTTTCTTATTGTCTAGCTAGGCCAGTAAGACAAACAACCAAGCAAATATGTTTGTAACAAATATGTCTATATTTAGTTAAAAATCAATAAATACCACAATAACAACAACAATAACGTTTCGAGTCTTATCTTGAGATAACTAAATAGGGGCCATTCATTGAAGCGTATAATGCAAATACAGCAGGCATGCAACTTCTTTGGACGTCGCCCTTTTTCGGCTTAAGACAATTTCTGGGTGATAAGACTATCATAAAAATAACAAATATTTATTTCCGAAAGCGAGAAAATAACAACAGTAGGCTTATGGTTAAGTAAATATGGAAACAAATGAAAGTTTTCCAATAGAAAAACCACCAATTCAGCCAAGCTGAAAAAGAGATTTTCTGAAGAAATTCATATTCAGCAAGGCTGAATTGAAGATTTTATATACAAAATTGCTATTCAGCCAGGCTGTATTGAAAATTTCCTATAGGAACTATTATCCAGCAAGCCTAAAATTTAATTTTCCTATAGAAACTATTATTCAGCCAGGCTGAATTGAAGATTTCCTGTAGAAACTCTTATTCAGCAAGCCTGACATTTAATTTTCCTATAGAAACTCTTATTCAGCCAGGCTGAATTGAAGACTTTCTATAGAAACTCTTATTCAGCCAGGCTGAATTGAAGATTCCCTATAGAAACTCATATTCAGCTAGGCTGAATTGAAGATTTCCTATAGAAACTCTTATTCAGCAAGCTTGAATTGAATATTTTCTTAAGAAATTCTCATTTAGCCAGGCTGAATTTAAGATTTCCTATAGAAACTCCTATTCAGCCTGACTGAATTGAAGATTTTTTATAGAAACTCTTATAGAACCAGGTTGAATTGAAGAAACTCTTATTCAGCCAGGCTGACTTGAAGATTTTCTATAGAAACTCATATTCAGCCTGGCTGAGTTGAAGATTTTCTATAAAAACTTTTATCAGCCTGACTGAGTTGAAGATTTCCTATAGAAACTCTTATTCAGACAGGCTGATTTGAAGATTTCCTATAGAAACTCTTATTAAGCCAGGCTGAATTAAGGATTTTCTATAGAAACTCTTATTCAGCCAGGCTGTATTGAAAATTCCCTATAGGAACTATTATCCAGCAAGCCTAAAATTTTATTTTCCTATAGAAACTATTATTCAGCCAGGCTGAATTGAAGATTTCCTATAGAAACTATTATTCAGCCAGGCTGAATTGAAGATTTCCTTTGGAAACTCTTATTCAGCCAGGCTGAATAGAAAATTTCCTATATAAAATTGTATTCAGCCGCTATAAATTTAAATTTTCCATTATCAAAGTTTAATTTTTTTGTAAGAATGTTATTCAGTTAGGCTGAATTTAGCTTTTAATTAGGATTGAGAATAAACTGTAAAATTTTGAAAATATTAGCACAAGGTCGATTATAGAGAAAGAGATATGAAACCGGCCAAGTAAATACATACAAATACATTTTGGGTGAGATCATGCCAAGAATATTTGCAAAGTTTGAACATATTTGTATGTATGTGTGTGTGTCGATGATGTATTATTAACTAATTTGTATGCAACTCATTGACGGCATGTGAACTCATATTAATTGCCTTCAAAATAATGTTGACTCAAACTTTTTAAAATTTTTAAGATTAGAAAAATAATAACAATAACAATATTAGATTGGGTCGTGTTGATATGGTTGACAGCTAGGATTTTCTGATTCCTCACATCAACAAATTCTGAAAATTTCTGCGAAATCAAATCATGATTTAGAAATGTTCTAGGAATTTTCTTCAATAAATAAAAAACCTATTTGAAGAACCTTCGCTCTGTCTCTGTTTTTTATTGAATATTAGATTATTTTACATTCTTTAATATTAAAAAAAAAACTATATAAATAGAAAAAATCAACTGCTGTCCGTGTTATTAAGTCAAAATTATAGAGAAGGCACAACAGACTCAGGCAGTGGCTGCCAGCCGGCATGCTAATGTATTCAACATTTCCCTGCACTCTAGAACATTGAAATTTACATGATAATTATAGCATTAATAACTTTACAAAAGTTGAAATAAACAGACATACACACACATACAAAGCCAACCACAACAACACAATCAAACAAATGCTTTTTTGTTTTGTTACAGCGAAAACCCCGTTCAAGCTTTGGGTGTCTGAAAGGGTGGGCAGCTGTGAACTGATTGTTTTATAATGACCCCATCTAAAGCTATTAGTCTTCGTCTATGTGTGTGAGTGTGTAACCATAACAACACACACTCACAATTCGAGCAGTATTCAATCACAGTTTTGACTTGACTTCACTTGTAATCATAGAATTCAAAATACAAACAACAACAAAAAAGCAAGCAGCTGAATTAGATGCATTCACTTGCTCGCTGTCGATTCAAGTACAACAATAAACAAGAATTGTTTGAAATCACAGAAGAAGAGGAAAAAAAGCTGTTTTGAAAATAAATGCGGATGCATTTTGATAAAGTTTTTGATTTATAGAAATCAAAAAAGAACAAAACTGAAAATAGCTTGAGCAATTGCATTGGGGTGATTTAGTGATGTCAGAGGAATTGAAAGTGAAATGTCTAATGAAGAAAGCAAATGGGAAAACCAAAAAATAAACAATTTTGAATGCCATAAATTTCAATTCAGCCAAGCTGAATAAGATTTTCAATAGTGAAATTTTAATTCAGCCTTGCTGAATACAATTTTCTATAGAAAATTTTCAATTCAAGCCTGGCTGAATACAGTTTTCTATGGAAAATTTTCAATTCATCCTGGCTGAATAAGATTTTCTATAAAAAATTTTCAATTCAGCCTGGCTGAATACAGTTTTCTAAAGAGAAATTTCAATTTAGCCTGGCTGAATACAATTTTCTGAAGAAAAATTTCAATTCAGCATGGCTGAATACAATTTTCTAGAGAAAATTTTCAATTCAGCCTGGCTGAATACAATATTCTATAAAAAAATTTCAATTCAGCATGGCTGAATAAGATTTTCTTTAGAAAAACTTCAATTCAGCTTAGATGAATAGACATATTTTTAACTCTTTTGAATTTCTTTATTATCATCTCCCATATATTTGTTTTATTATCCCTAATCCTATTAAAAATGTTTTGAGAAATAAAATATTATTTTTACCACCAAGACAAATTGTCGTTGACAGGCAAAACCTTTTGTCTCCGAACTCCCCTTGCCCCCATTACAACTAATTAAAGACTTTATTTAATTAACTTCTTACGTTGAATTGCCATGAAATGAATACGTCATCATTAATGAAATTGTGTGTGTATCATAGCAATTATAGAACAATTAAAAATAATGAATTGCAGGAACATCGTACAGCGGAATAGTTTATTTACTCACTAGCTCTGGTATGTATGTAGATCAAAAGCTATTTAAATAATTGCAGGAAATACTAGAATATAATAATAAGAAAAATAATATACCTTAACTTGGAATAACAATAACTTTGCAATTTAGCATGGCTGGATAAGAGTTTATTTAAAAAATCGTCAATTCAGCCTGGCTGAATAGGATTTTCTATAGGAACTCTTTAACTCAGCCTGGCTGAATAGGAATTTCTATAAGAAATTTCCTGTTGAGCCTTGCCAAATAGGACTTTCTATAGGAAATCTTCAGCCTTGCTGAATAGGATTTTCTATAGGAACTCTTTAACTCAGCCTGGCTGAATAGGAATTTCTATAAGAAATTTCCTGTTGAGCCTTGCCAAATAGGACTTTCTATAGGAAATCTTCAGCCTTGCTGAATAGGATTCTATAGGAAATCTTCAACTCTGCCTGGCTGAAAAAGAGTTTCTATAGGAAATCTTCAATTCAGCCTGGCTGAATAAGAGTTTCTATAGGAAATCTTCAATTCAGCCTGGCTGAATAAGAGTTTCTATAGGAAATCTTCAATTCAGCCTAGCTGAATAAGATTTTCTATTTCTAAATCTTCAATTCAGCCTGACTGAATAAGAGTTTCTATAGGAAATCTTCAATTCAGCCTGGCTGAATAAGAGTTTCTATAGGAAATCTTCAATTCAGCTTGGCTGAATAGGATCTTCTATAGGAAATTTTCAATTCAGTCTGGCTGAATAGGATCTTATATAGGAAATATTCAATTCAGCCTGGCTGAATAGGATCTTCTATAGGAAATCTTCAATTCAGCCTGGCTGAATGAGAGTTACTATAGAAAATATTCAACTCAGCTTGGCTGAATAAGAGTTTCGATATAAAAACCATCAATTCTCCTTATGATGGAGTTTCAAAAATATTAAAATTTAACATAGACAAATATGCCAATATTTTTTCCCCAGTTACTAAAAATCTTTAGAATTAATATTTCATCGGAGGTGTGACGGGGGGGTTGGGTGACAGTGATAATAACTAAAATAAACAAATCGCTTATTCTGAAATTTCCAAAAAAT